GTATACTGTTTTTTTTTTTTTTTTTTTTTTGTAATCATGGTTAGATGATAAAAAAGAGTTACGGCATTATGGTATTATTAATTTGGTGTAAACATGGATGTGGATAAATCCTTTCGTTTAGCAGTTGATCATAGCGGTCGTCCACATCTGGTCCAACAAATTCGACTATCATACATGACGTAATTGGAATAAGAAATTCTCAGCCACTTTCTTTGCCATGACTTGTTATTTTAGTTTTAGCCTTAGAATAATGAGAGAGAGAGAGAGAACTTTTGGTCGGATAGAGCTTTACAACAAGTTCTCTAATCTCAAATTTCACTGTTAATCCCTGCACTCAGAAAGCAGGCACGAGAAAAAAAAAAAAAAAAAAAAAAAAGAGGGGGGAGGGGGGATTCTGAATTTTGCCATTGTCACACACCAGCAAATCCAGCTTGAACCTGCAATACAAAGGCTTCTTGTTTTTTGTAGGGTGCTGCGCTGTGCCTGTCTATGGATCTTCTAAAAAAGTTTTTACAAGTCGTATGCTCGTAATTAATGTTAATAGGCTAATATACACTTTATTTTGCCAAATATCTCATTTCTAAACTTCAAGATTATTGCTACTTTCCAAGTAGATGTCCATTGGGGGTCTTCATATGCAAAACCAAAATCTTGGGATTAGGATAATCATTTGTACAAAATTAAAAGAACAAATAGTACAAAATATTGGGACAGGATATTTTCGTACAATTCTATATTTCCAAGTATTATACCAGAGCATCTCCATATCCACATGAATGAGCATAAGAACATGACTCTTTCATTTCCACATGAATGCAACCTTTGACATATATATATTTGGATTATTTTTTTGATAAGGATATTCAGCATACCTACTATATGCCATCTAGCTAATTTAGTTTCTTTTGTTCCAAACTTCTGGGAATAAACAGTAGCAAGATGGCTAGGCATAGAACCCAATGAAATCACCAAAAAGGAATATTTGTAATTGCTATTCCAAATAATAGCAAATGCATAAATGCTAGGTTTACAATAATAATGAACCTTGACATATTAGCAATAATTCATGGACAATGTACGAAATAGCACCGGCTGCTGTGTATGAAATTCAAAAAGAATCTAATAACTTTTTGTGGATCCAAGGAATAAAAAGCCGATGATTTTCTCGTACGTTCTTGGTTCACATACAGGCCATGCAAAAAGAGATGGCAATCAAAAGTTTGGGCTTACCAGCTCAGAACAATCAGGAGTACTGGTAGAATGATATGCTCTTATCGTCGGATACACTGGCAAGCATACAAGACCTAACATCAGTCCTTGATGGTGGTCCAAACGCCACAGACCATACCTGGTCAGTGTGGTGGGTTAATGTCTGTGTAGCTGCTCTCATTTTAAGATCCCACAGCCTAACGGTCTTGTCACTAGAACCTGTTGCAATGGCTGCCCCATCTGGAGAGACATCCACACTCAAAACCCAACTCGCATGACCTGACAAAGATGTGAGCAAGGTTTTACCCTCAGCGTCATACACATGCACATGACCATCATCTGATGCTGAGAAAAGTATCCTTGAATCATGGTGTGAAGGCGAAAACACAAGAGAGCGCACAGGCATGGAATGGCCTTCCAAGAAGTGGAGGAACTTCGCACGTGCCACATCAAAAACAGAGATAGTTCCATCAACTGAACCACAGGCAAGAAGTCTACCATCAGGATTCCATGCAACTGACAGGACAAATTTCTTGTTGCCACTTTTCTCGGATGGTTGTGTGCCTCCTTGCCGCGGAATTGACAATGTGGCAATGAGTTGCCACTGAGTGGTATCCCATAGCTTGACTGATGAACTACCACCTCCGGCTGCTGCCAAAGTGCCACCCTGAAAAATGTGGAGAACCATAATGAGGCTGCCTAAAACCAATCATCTAAACATGAGTAGAAAAAAGTAAAGACATACAAAAAGGTTTGCTGTATAAACCTTGAGAACCACATGACAATTACAGTTAAAAACATAAAAGTAGGTTTGCTTATAAACCTTGAGCACCACATGACAATTAGAGTAAAAACATAAAAAAAAGGTATGCTTTATAAACCTTGAGCACCACATGACAATTAGTCAAGTAGCAAACACAAAGAAAAAAGAAAATCCTGATGTATGATGAACAAGGAATAAAGACAAACGAGAGGGAAAACATGGAAATGGGATTAAAGCAAAATATTTTGCGAGCCCCGTGTCAACCAAGGAAAAGAACCAATCACGGTAGACACCGTAGGCCTCCCCATTGTCAACCAAGGAAAAGAACCCAATCATGCTCTAAAACATAATCCAACATAATTTTGGATTTTACTTCAAGTATATAAGTTACGAAGATCACCGCAATTCAAAATCAAGAAATAATAAAAATTCCATAGCCAACCAACTTATCTCTTCTCGTAGCAAAACCTAAAAGCACCTCATAGCTAATTCCATAAATGAATTAAGAAAATACTTTATTTTAGTTCCATTCATGTTGACTGTACATAAATATCGCACTTTGCAACCAGTCAGCCTCATTAACTGAAATCTTAAAAGCAGTTATTTCCATTCCATAACGATGAAAATAAAGGAAAAAACATAATGACATGCTGAATTCAGGTGTTCTAAAAGGAAGGTAGCAAAACATTCAACTACAAATTCAAATATTTTGATCTAGCTCAGTACAGGAACATAGATGCACGCAAAGCTGTTAACTACTCAATCCACTAATGCCCATAATCACCGATTGGATCTGGTCGTCCCTAACACGAAGTTATTATCATCCTTCTTTTTACAAATCAGATAAAACAAAATCTGATTTCAGTAACTTAAACCAATCTGAACTTAAAACAATCTGATTCTTGTGATCTTATATTAGTAATTTTACAAACTAGCCTTTTAAAATTGTTATCTTTTGATTATTTGTTTGTTAAGGTATATAAATCATATGACCTAACGAAGCCTATCCCTAGAAAACTGAGTCTTAACTCTTAAGTAAATACGGAACACTACAAACTTGTCCCCATGCCATGAACCAAAAATATAAGTGTATCAACCATCACTGCTCCTAATCTGAACTCCTGAGACAAACATAAAGAGTTCACTCACTACCAAAGAAGCAAATACTACTTTCTCAAAAGAAAAAAGAAGAAAATGCAGTTACATTACACCGCTGCCAGTAAGAATGAAAGACAAACAAAAAATTCCTAAGCAAACCAGTTCAAATATGTTTCAAATCCCACATCAGTTGTGCCTGGATTGTTTGGTCTCCTTACATGTTCTTGGGCAATCCTCATCTCATAAGCTAGCTATTGGAATTGAGTTTGGCCCGAGGTACATTTTCTTATCAATATGTAGAATGAAAAAAATATTGAGATTCCATATTCAGTCATATCCAAGAAACAAGCTTCCACTATTCTGCGTCAGTATGCTAAATAAAGAGCTTGCATTTAAGCATAAAGCTTGTATAAAAAGTTTAATTAATTCCCTCAATTTGCCCACATTTTTTAGATAAAGCTTGTATCTTTTTCATTTGGTATATCTCTATAACTCATCTACTACGTAAAACAACATTGCATTAGAATGCACAGCCATTAGATTTAATAAATTTTTTTTTTTTTTTTTTTTTTTTTTGCAAAAAAAAAAATTCCTTGCTTACATCGGGACTAAATTGCAATTGCCAGACTTCAGAAGGAGGAGCTTCGAGAGTGGCGATGGTGTTATTAGTATCAACCTCAAACACTCTAATGAAACTGTCTATAGAAGCAGACGCCGCGATCCTGCGATTCGGATGAGCGGTGACTGATACAACGCCGAGGCAATGACCGGTGTTTGTCTGAAGGCAAGTGAATTTGGTTGGGTCCCATATCCTGACCGTTTCATCAAGTCCTCCGGTGAGAAGTAGCGCCGGTTTATCGCCGGTCGATCGGACCCACGCCGCCGTCCAAAGTGAGTCCTCGTGCGCGTTCTGGATACTGTCTAGTGAAGCTAGTTTCATGGTGATTTTGGTAATGGTTAAACCCTAGGAGATGGAAGTGAAGATCTCTGCTGTCACTTTCGCTTACTGAGAGTGAAAAGGCAGATTTACTCCTGTTTTGTAGGTAAGTCCTTCATGTTACAATAATTACATTCTGGTCTCTTATTTTACTTCTCTCGGGGATCAAATATGCGATCCACAAGCTGGACTCAATTGGCAGTCATATGTGCGGCTTTTGCATCTATACCCCGTTTTGGCCTTTTGGTCACAATTGAACCTATACATGTTTTACAAAAAAGTTTGCAAGCGTATTCACTTTAAGATTAACTTCATACTTATCGGGTCTGAAGTTTAAAAAAAATTAGTCTGAAGTGAAAAATTGCACTTCAAATGTACTTAAGGCCAAATAGGTTGAAGTGCAACCAATGATTTCATGCACTTAGGAGTCGTTTGGTAGGGTGCATAAGAATAATGCTAAATAGGGTGTATTAGTAATGCTGGTATTAGTTATGCTTGCATTAGTTATGTGTCACCTCCTTTTTCCGTCCCCGCGAGGGTACAAGGAGTTTTTTCCAATTAAAGGACAATCGAAACAGGATTTATTTATTTATTTCAGAGTCGCCACTTGGGAGATTTAGGGTGTCCCAAGTCACCAATTTTAATCCCGAATCGAGGAAAAGAATGACTCCATATTACAGTCTGCGTACCAGAAATCCGGATAAGGAATTCTGTAACCCAGGAGAAGGTGTTAGGCATTCCCGAATTCCGTGGTTCTAGCACGGTCGCTCAACTGTTATATTCAGCTTGATTATCTGATTTTATACAAATATGAACTTATGTGCAAATTTAATCTTTTTAGCCGCTTTTATTATTATTTTTTATTTATTTATATTTTTTAGAATGTGAACATCGTTTAAAACATGTCTTTGGATTGCATCACATGAAATGCACCCGCAATCCGGAACACATTTTATCCAATGTTTTGGGATTTGGATTTGGGTCGCATGAAATGCGCACCCGAGTTTAAGAAGGTAAGATTAATTAAATCGTGTCTAAAGCGATTAGCGTATTTATTATTTGGGGACAGCCGTGAAGTTTGCTAAACGACTCCTCCCGAAGTCTAAGTGATTAAATGTACATTTATTGAGGGCCCCGCAATCTGTGCATTTTATTTGGCGAGGCTCATCTCATTTTTATTTAAAAGGATAAACCTATAGTGACTACATTTTTTCTATTAAGTTTGTCTCTAAAAAATAAAAGGAAATCCATCAATTAATTACATGCTGAAAAAGACGAACTTATTAGTTATTAGTTTACCGCTATTGCAAATGGAAAATTGCAATCGAGTTTGTACAAAGAAAAACTGCTTTTATTCTATATTCTATTATTCAATAATAGTAGAACATGAGATTGACACACCATAATATCAAAACA